TCCGCGGAGAGCGCCGTCGACGCGTCGGCTCCGCACTTCTCTGCAAGGGGCCCCACGGACGCCCTGCGGCCCGGCTGTCCTGCCTAAAGTCCTCCCTCAGTCCTGCGCAGTCCTCCCGGCGGTGTCCCGGCCGCGTCCCGGCGCCGTCCCGGCGCCGTCCCGGCGTCCCGGCCGCGTCCCGCCGCCGTCCCGGCTCCGTCCCGCCGCCGTCCCGGCTCCGTCCCGGCGCGTCCTCCGGGTCGCGGTCCTGGCCAGGTCCTCCCGGGGTCCTGGGCCGTCCCGCCTTAGTCCTGGCCACGTCCTGCGCCGTCCTGCGGCTGTCCCGCGCCGGGTCGCCTGGGTCGGCGGCCCGGCCGCCGACCTGCGCCGTCCCCCGGCCGTCCCGCGGCGCGGGACGGCGCGGGACGGCGCGGGACGCCTGGGACGCCGTGGCCGGCGCCGCGGAGCGGCGCCGGCGCGTCCGACGCCGGCGCGCGGCTGCGCTACGTGCACGTGGCCGCGCACGCCGTCGCAGGAGTGCATGCGCTGCTCGCGGCGCCGCACGCTACGCATTTGCTGCGCCGTCGATCGTCGCTCGGTCTGCGGGCCGACGAGGAGCTCGACGCGTCGAGCGCGACGAGTGCGCGCGGCGCGCGCGGCGCCCACGTCGTGGCGACGAAGTTGACGGACGCGGCGACGGCGACGAAGTCGCCGAGCGCCGACGAGTCCGTCGCGCTCGACGCGATCGCGCTCTCCGCCGGCGACGCGACGAAGTCCTCGCGGGCATGCTCGCTCACCTCGGAGCGACGCCGACGCGGTCCGCGCCCGACGCGCGCGCCATCAGCCGAACGATCTCCGACGCCGCGGAGAACGCACTCCCGCGCGGAGCGCGCGGCGAGAACGCGCGGAGAGCGCGCGCGCTCACGGCCTCCGGCCGGCCGACCTCCGACCACGCGCGCGCGTCCTACTAGCTAGTTTCCGTGTCGTAGATTGAAGTGGGGCCAGTTTCCGGAGCGCTGGTGTCCGGGTGGGTTGCCACGCCACCGAGATTCGTCGCCGCCCCTCGGAGTTTGGCGCTCCGCGAGGACCGCGCCCGCCGGCCCACCTGAGCGCGAGCTCGAGCTCGCCTCGGGCCGGGCATCGACGCGGCCCCGAACGGGCGACGGATTTTTTTGTTCGACTGGGGGAGTCTACCCCAGTTGG